ACCCGGAACTTGCTCAGGACAGCCGTGGGATCCCCGAGCGCAGCGAGCGCCGAGATGGGACTCTCCCGGGACTGCCGAGCAGAAGCCGTTGCCCAAGCTTCTAGTTGAGCTGACTTGTGATGCTTCACTGCCACGGCCCTGCTATCCTAGAAATCAGGAGGCCGGAGCGTGCAGGTGCATGCCTTTCTGTTCTAGCGCTTGATGCCAAAGTTCTAAAAGTGAATCGTTAATTCGCCGTGGAGGTGCCGATGGACGATGAGGCATACAATGAACCCACCAGGCGCAGAAGAGGCCGCCGCTCACGTGTTTGCCTCTGACACTGCTGACTGATGAGTGCTGGATGGGCTTCTGTGCCATTTACGTGCGTGTGTCCGCTGTTTGCAACACCCCGACTGCAAGGCCACGGAGGTGCCATGCCATGCACGATTTGGGCTTGCTAGAGCGCAGTGAGCGCATCGAGACTCCCCGAGTCAATGAACTCGGCGCAGCTACAGCTCTCGAGCAAAGCCGCGGGCAAAAGTGGCTGCTTCGGTCGTGAGGCATGTGCACTGAGGCCACTGAGACTTTTAAGTTGGCTCTGCTAGCCTTGTGTCGCTGTCTCGCTGCATTGCCTAGCTCAAGGAATGTCGACTTTGCATGGCCTCTGTTTTTCCTTGGCCGTGCACCATGAGAGCTACCCTGGGGCGGCATGTTTGTGCCAACTTAGGGCGGCGAGCTTTCAGCACGGAGAGGCCGCGGGTCATGATTCTAGGTACCGGCTGGGCAAGCTTCCGAGTGCTTGCCGACATTGATACTAAGAAAGCGGATGTCACGGTGGTATCTCCACGAAACCATCTGCTGTTTACACCGATGTTGGCTTCTTCTGCGCTGGGCACGGTGAATCAACGATCCATTTGCCAACCAGTGCGGCCCATGGTAGCCAAGAAGAATGCCACCTACTACGAAACTTCGTTCCTATTGAGGATTTAATCTAAGTTACCACACTAAGAAAACCGATTATTCTACCATACTCTCATATGTGAATTTACGATCCCAAACGGCAACCCAGGAAAGCGCAGTTGTAGCCATTGACAGAGATGGCAAGAAGGTCACCTGCAGAACTGACGCCGGCCAGGAGTACAAGCTGCCCTATGATAAGTTGGTTGTTGGAGTGGGCTTTCAGCCCAACGACTTCAACATCCCTGGCGTAAAGGAACATGCTTTGTTCATGAAAGAGACGGCAGATGCCACAAGATTCAAGGACCACGCGGGGGGCTGAGAGCTGAGGATCCGCAGCACCGCTGCAGAAGTAGCGCAGTTCAGATAGCCGAGGTCTTGGAGAAGTTGGAGGAAGCATCCTACCACCACGCCCTGGATAGCGACCTCACAGTTAGCGATGAAGAAAGGGCACGCATTCAGGACTTGCTGACCTTCGTAGTTGTAGGAGGTGGCCCGACAGGTGTGGAGCTTGCAGGTGAACTGACTGACTTCCTCTACAGCGAGGGCGCAAAGCTTTACGGACACCTGAAGCACTACATCCGCGTGCACATGTTCACCTACGATATCTTGAACACCTTCGATCAAGATTTGCAGGACTATGCCATTTCCCATCTTCAGAGAAAGCAAAACGTGCAGATCCATCTCGGTGCTTTCGTGCAGAAAGTGGAGCCGGATGTAGTTCACGTCAAGACAGGGGAGAGCTTGATGTCGATTCGATATGGCACTCTAGTGTGGTGTGCCGGAATCAAGCCCCACCCTTTCATCAAGTCGTTTGGCTTCATGATGAATGACAGGGGATCCCAAATCCTTGTGGATCCCTACTTGAAAGTGAAGGGGGAGGAGGACATCTACGCTATCGGGGACTGTTCCACCATAGAAGACTATTGGCTTCCGCAAACTGCGCAAGTCGCCAATCAGCAGGGGCAATATCTGGCCAAAGTGCTGAGCCAGAAAGACCCCATCAACATAAAGCCGTTTGAGTTCCACAACAAGGCGCAGCACAGGTGTAGGGTTCATGTAGGGTGTAGGGATTGATGGAAAAGGACCGCTTACAGTAGTTGCCCGATGTCTCTCTGCAGGGCACGATGGCCTATCTCGGTGGGTTCAACGCTGTCATGGCCAAGCTCCCTGGAATCAGCAAAGTGACCGGATTCGTTGCATTTCTTGGCTGGCGGTTCACCTACTGGTTTCTGCAGCTATCGATGAGAAACCGTTTCATGTTGCTCACCGACTGGTTGCGAGCCTTAGCTGCATCAAGTCTGTGTTCCCGCATGTGTGAGCCCTGTTCCCTGACTGGTTTCAAGGAACCTTGATCTTCGGACGTGACCTCACAAGATTCGGGCCTCGATCCAAGCCCACCTGAGGGACGCCTCGTTGCACTGTAAATTACTTCACGCTCGGTTTCAAAACTAGCGCAAGCCACTGCTGATGAAGCTCTGGTGGTGGAGCCCGGTTGCCAGTCCTCTTTTGCAGCTGCTCGCACTCTCATTACCTGATGCTGCAGCCACGACAAAATCAGTCACAACATGAGACGCGTTGGACCAAACAATTGTTTCATGAGAGATGCCAAAATCCCCTAGTGCAGTCACGACCAAGAAACTTATCCGCAGCGCATAAACGCCGGGTCTCGACATCTTCAGAACCCATGAAGCCAGTGAGCAGACAAGGCTGGGGCTCGGAAATTTGGTGCAGAGAGTCCGTTTAGCATGTCCATGCTCGTGTGTCCAAGCTCTTGCTGGATCAGATGTACCATGGTGAAAGTTCGCTGTGACATTAGCTATAGTCTAAACTCCTTAAAGGGGGTTATGTAGGGGATTATATAGGGGACTACTACAGAAGTTACCTAAGGGGGATACCAGGAGTTTACACTAGCTCAGATAGCATGGGGGCTTGACTTTGTCGGCATGTCTCTGCTGGTGAGGCTGCCCGTCATGGTGAAGGACAGCCGGGGTGCAAAAAGCAAGGGTGTTGCAATCTGGCTGGGCAGCAACATGATTTTCATGAACAATCATGCTTTCAAACCCCTACATAAGCCCCAAACTCGAAACCCGTCAACCCTAACCCAAAATCATCCAAAACCATCAACCCTAAACCCTAAACCCCTATACCCTAAACCCTAAACCCCTATATCCTAAACCCTAAACCCCTATATCCTCAACCCTAAAACCCTATACCCTAAACCCTAAACCTTAAATCTTATCAGCAGTGCCCAAGCCGGTAAGGAGGTTGCCCGACGCCTCATCAGTGTGAATTCGCCGCAGGGCCAAAACCTTATGCTGCAGAGCTGCTGTTAAGGAACTTACTTTAAGTTACCATATTGTTTTAGGGTTTAAGGTTTAGGGTTCCGATTGATTACTATATATACCCATTATGGTTACTTGATTTGGGTTTTAGGGTTCCTATTAATTACTATATATACCCATTATGGTAACTTCATTTAAGTTTCTTGACCGCAACCCAGCTTGTGTTGTTGCGCGCTTGCTGTCATCTCTCCCGTTTTACCCACAGATCTTGCGGGCCTTCCTGGGAGAGATTAACATTGTGCACATTGCTTGCTTGCTATATAATCCCCATGAAGCCCCAAACCCTAAACCCTACCCAGGAAGCCTTATCGGCTTAGCGTTGGCAAAGAGACAGAGCTGATGTACCGAGGCAGGGCATCTACGGATGATTTTGTCTCGCCCGTGGCTCTGACACTTCGTAGGTGGCGCTAACTATTGCAAAACCCTTCTGGTTACCCTTGTGTTCAAAGGGGATATAGAGGAAATCCCCTGGGATTTTTTTGCACCTATTCTGGGCCATAATCTGTACATACTCCCTACAAAGCCGTAAACGTAACCTTTGCAGCGCCCCTGACTCTATGGCAGTGAAAGGGTGCGTATGATGGAAGGGGGGATGGCAACTACTGCATTACTTATTGATTCTTCAGTGAGAGTGCGGTAGTGGAGCCTTATTGTAACGCAATGGGATCCCCATAATATAGACCCCTATATACATTAGTCCCTGTATTCACTCCCCCACTCAACCCTTAAACGCTAAACCTCAAAACCCTAAATCCCAATCCTAAGCCCTAAAATCCTAATCCTAAACCTTGATCCCTAAACCCCTAAAGCCTAATTCCTAAACCCCTAAACCCTGAATCTTAAACCCCTACACCCTAAATCCTAAGCCCTAAACCCTGAACCCTGAATATGGATCTGTGAAGAACGAGGTCAGAGCCAGCATCCCCGACCCCACAAGAGGCCGCCGAAGAAGTCATACATGCTTGGGGCCCGAATTATATTTTGTTTAGGGTTTAGGGCTTAGGGTTTTGGGTTTAGGGCTTAGGGCTTAGGGTTTGGGGTTTAGGGTTTAGGGAGATGGTTTTGGGGTTATATAGAGATTACATGGAGTTGATGTAGGGATGATGCAGGAATTAATTGGGGATTGTACAGGGTCATATGCTGGTTATACAGGGTTTTGTAGCGATGTTAAGTAGTGCAGAACGGATTGGAAAGGAACGTGCAAAACGACATGGAAAGCGGGCTTACATAGGGTTTAGATTGATAATTGCCAGTATTATGGTTCTGGACTTCCTTGGATAGATCTGATAGAGGATGCCTCCAACAGACCTCATAATATTGGTCCATGTAGTTAATTGCTGCATAAGGTGCAGCCATTCAGTTGGTGCTCCCAATATGGTAGTCTCCATAAGTATGGGGTCCCCCATATAGGTCCCAAGTGCTGCAGTCCTGTACTTGTCCTTATCATTCACAATTCCAAAGAGGCCCTAAACCCTAAACCCTGAACCCTAAACCCTAAACCCTGAACCCTAAACCCTAATCGCAGCTGATGAGCTGCGAAGGGAAGAGCAGCTGCTGTGGAGGGACTTTCATGCGGCGGAACTCCGCACGTGGGAAAGCTGGGCAGCGAGCACTGAGGATTTCCTACAAGGGCGGAAGAAGAGGGCAAGAGTGCAGGTTCTAGTCCAGGGCCAAGGTGGAAGAATCATCAAGCAGGAAAATTGGCTCGTGGGGCTTGGGCCTGGAGAACGACTCAGCTACTCGGTCAGCGTCGTCCAAGATGAGGAGGGAATGGAAAGAGATCCCACAGCAGCGTCCTCGGCAAGTGGAGACGCACCAGCAACGGACGCTGCTCAGGGTGAAGTACCAGGGCACACGGCAGAAGAGGAGGCAGAGAGCATGCTGCCGGTGACGGGAGAGAAGCCACCAGACATGTGGGACGAAGTTGACATGTCAGTAGCCAAGGACATGGATGTGAACGACTTCATGCAGACACCGCTCGCCGCCAAGTTCTATGAGTACTGGAAGCAGGGCACAGTGACGGACAGATTGGTCGGGCATAGATTCGGCTATGGGGTCCTCGGACGCTTCTATAGCAGGCGGTTATGGGACCAGGGATGCTTTGATGGAATGGAAAGTGAGAGTGACCCGCGCGAGATCGGAGGTGGTGTTGGCGTACCAGTGGAGGACGATAGCTTCCCGGCCACACAACTTGAGACAGGGATGGAAGGGCCGGAGACTGCGGCCAGCAGCGACGCACCGGAAGGAGGTAGTGATCCGGCGGCCAGTTCGACAATGTCAACGGAGAGACCAGCTACTGCCAGCACGAGAGCTACTGAAGCGGGGGATAGTTCAGGAGTCCTGTCAGGGAGTCGTCAAACGAGCCTGGCACATTGGCTGCTTTGAGGATTGATAGGGCTTTTTCCCCCAAATCTGACCTGCAATGGACTCTCTCTTTCCAGTGCCTTGAGCAGTCCAGCTTTGGGAGCGCTGTAGGACTTTTCCCCAGGTTCTGGCCTGCACTGAATGTTCGCTTTCGTGTGCTGAAGCCATTCCTGCTTTGGATGCCAGGGGCTGACCTGTCAAAGGACTGTGCCTGAATGGCATCTCTTGGGATCATGCTGAGAGAAAAGGTCCGACAAAAAAAAAAAAACCTAAACCCTGAACCCTAAACCCTAAACCCTAAACCCTAAACCCTGAACCCTAAACCCTTAAACCCTAAACCCTAATTTTCGGAAGCCACCCAAATGCTGCAGGAGGGTTCGCTCCCACGGGAAGGCATGGCAGGGCTTTGGAGATCCGCAAGTGGATGTCCCTCTATAGTACATACCCAGACCCCCTAAAGGATCCAAAAAATGGAACCCCCCCCAATATGAACCCATTCCTACATTGGGGAAACTAGGGGATTATTAGGGGGTTCCATTTTTTGGATCCTCTAGGGGGTCTGGGTATGAGCTACAGTCTAAACTCCTAGGGTTTAGGGTTCAGGGGTTATATAGGGGACTACGTAGGGGACTATCATAGGGGTTATTAAGGGGGATACTTGGAGTTTAAACTATAAATCATGTAATCACCCTCCCTATGTATCCCTGGGGTCCATAGGGTTTTAACTAAACAAGCAAAGGCTGATGATTTCAGTTCTGCCCCAATCCTAGACCCTAAACCGCTTGTGCACCTGCCTTGCCAGACCTCCTCCACCCTCAAGATGAGGCTAACAACAGTGACGGGAGCTGAGACGTCGGAGAAACAACAGCCAGCCAAAAGATTTATGAGCTAGAGGCTAAACTCTTGGTATTCCGCTTAATAGCCCCGGTAATGCTCCCCTATCTAATCCCCTATGTAACCCTTTTCAAGCAGTGTAGATTATAGCTCATGTCTCCAAAGGTGAGTGAGATCCTTGTTTGCTGTAAGAGCACAACGACACTGTCGGTACGTGTTGGCACGCAAGCCCTCAGCTGAGCCGATAGCACCTAAGGCTGCATTTATGACAGAGCCCGAGCTCTCCAGCCAGTGGGAGGCAATTTGTAGTCAGGCTTTTGATGGGTGGGTGCTATATTATAATAGGGTATATAATGAGGTTATATAGGGCTAATGGAAGAGAAAATGGAAGCTACTATATTAGGCAAGTCGACAAGGTTTGCTTCACTTTTTCGCGGCTTTGTGGTTTAGGGTTTCGGAATGAGTGTCTTTGGTTAGGTGATATGCTCACGTCTTCCGCGTTGCTTTCAATGTGTCCAGAGGTGGGCAAGAGAATCTGAAACAGAACCTTTGCAGGACTCCTCCTACTGGATCTCAATGGTCAAGCAGAGCATTTCTTCCAGCCTCTCGGAACGTTGGAACCTGAGGCACTGCAAAGCTCTTTCATCCAAATGCTGTTCAAGTTGCATGCTTGCTGACCAGAGACTGCACCCTAAACCTTAAACTCAGAACCCGAAACCCTAAACCCTAGACACTTAACCCTATTCTGTTTTGGGGTCCGCATGCTTGGTGTGGGAAAGGTGAGACGCTTATTGCGGAACTCAAGCAGGCCTGTCACATCTAATTGGCTTTAGGGTTTAGGGTTTAGCTTGCTACATCGTCT